AATGTTCCGGGGATGCTCAACCCCAACCGAGTTTCAGGATCATTTGTAGTCCCGGGGATGCTCAACCCCAACCGAGTTTCAGGATCATGTATGGTCCCGGGGATGCTCAACCCCAACCGAGTTTCAGAATCATTTAATGTCCCGGGGATGCTCAACCCCAACCGAGTTTCAGGATCATTTATAGTCCCGGGGATACTCAACCCCAAACTAAATCCTCACCAAACCCTAACCTGGATATGGCTAACCTTTCGTTCCTTCAACTATGGACAATACCTAGCCCTATAGTCATATAACCATCCTTAGGAACCAATGTGGGCGGGTCCCACCTGAACGGCCCACATTAACCCGCTCAAAACTGCCCGTTTTGAGCATAAACCAATACTCGATCGAGTATCTACCCATACTCGGTCGAGTACAGGAGGCGGTAGCCCCCAAAGCTAATTTTGCATGTATACTCGATCGAGTATATACCTATACTCGATCGGGTATAGGAGACAGTAGCCCCCTGGGAAATTTTTCAGCAAATACCCGGTCAGGTATGTGTCAATACCCGGTCAGGTATGGCAGTTGACTTGGCGGTCAACGCCCCTTTTGACCCCCCAAACGGAGTCCGATTAACTTGAAATTTTATACACATATACTTCTTGATGTCCTTGATCCAAAAATACCATTTTGGATCCCTGGATCATCACACAAAATATGTTACCACAATTTTAATCACCAAACGTACATAACATGCTTTTCAAATATGTTTTATGCAAAATCATGGCATAAACAAATACTTGATTATCTTTAATCATTCCACAAAACATATCCTTGATTAATTTAGGTAATCTCATGCCTCACGCAAAAGTTATAAAGCATAAAGCCGTCTTCTCACCTTAATGAAGCTTATGAAGTTCTAGCCTTCCCGATTTAGCTCCGGCGAAACTCCGACGAACTTCAACGAACTCCGGCGGCAACTCCGGCAACCTTTTCGACTCCGTGAAAGTTCCTTGAATACCTTAGACAAGTTACTAACAAGGTTTTATCATCATAAAACCCATAGTAATACAAATAACCTCCAAAAGGTTATTTTCCGGCGAACCGGTTACTTCGGCTTCTAAGTCCGTTCTTGGACTTAGAACCACCTTCCAACCCCTCTTTCTACACATCTAAAAGTGTAGAACAATACTAGGGGTCCTTCATGTGATATATTGGTCATATGGTATATAAGAAGTTAAGGAAAAGTTGTTACAAGGTTATTACCTTGATTCTTCACACTTTCCCTAGCTTTTCCTTTCTTTAATCCTCCTTGGACTTCCTTTTCTTCCTTCTTGAGCTTGGTTCGAATGGCAATGGGGGAAATGAAGATTTGCAGAGCTTCTCTCTCAATATTGATTAGGTTGGTCGGACATATGGGCTAAGGGGGGAGGGATATGGCTCTATTTTGGCTTATACCTCAATGATAGCAAAAATATGGCCCTACCTTGTCCTTTTGATGTCAAAACCCTCAAGTCAGCTCTTCCCTTCAACAACCCTGCCCTCTGGACGCCCAAGCCCATGCATTGTCTCAAATAATTTCGTGGGGTGGCCCCCACTAATGTGGGAGGTCATCCCTTTAAATCCCGACGTGTACAATCGGTCCCGAAAGTTGTATTTTCCGGACTGTTTTAAGTATATTTTATTTTATCGGGTCAAATAAAATATAACACTTGTTCCCAATCCTCATTGGACCTTAGAATCAATATGCATTCCCCAACTTTAATTTAGAAGTCTCCGGAATCCCTTTTTGGGCTGTTATCCGATAATTTGCCGATACCGATAATCTGGCCCCATTTGACCAACCGGTCATCTCTATGCCATTGCCAGGCCCAATTAGGATATCCATCACCATATACATATTATCTAGTCCAAGATTAATATAATATGTGGTCCCGATAATATCGGGCGGCCCCACATCCGGTGTGGGCCCCACGTGAATTTTACTATTCACGTAATAGAAATGATAAAAATTTACAATCACGTAAAAATGCTTTTATACATTTCTCAAGGTGCAATACATAATTTGGTACAGTACAAATACTCGGGGGCGGTGTTACAGATTGACCCTGTTTGCATGCGGGAGCGTTGGGGCAAGAAAACAAGAAAAAGGAGAAAAAAAGTGGACGCACGGTCGTGCGTCTGGTACGCACGATCGTGCGTCGGATACGAAATCACGAAGAACTCTCTGATTGCTACGCACAATCGTGCGTAGTCAGGTATGCACGATCATGCGTAGCCCCGAGTTACGCGTGGTCGTTTCCCACATTGACCAGAATTTATATTTTTCTCCTCTTTTCTATAAATAAGGCCTCTCTAACCCTTTTTAGGGGTGGCGAACATTAAGGAGAGGCATAGGGACGAATTTAACACCGTTTTTACGCTATTTTCTTCCAAGACCCTGGGATTATTTGTAAGTTCATCTTTTTAATTAATGACAATTTATTCTATTCTTTCCAATTCTGTTGATTCTTCAATTATGAATTGTGAGTAGTTTAATTAGGGATTTGGGATTGATGAAGGGGTTAATCACGATGTATGGTTAGGTTCTTGATGGTGTAAATTGCATGAATGTCGTTTAATTTGTGTTTGAATAATTTAATTGATATCTTTTGTAACCTAGATGGCCACTAGAATTACAATCGCTTGTAGAATGAATTAAGTGAGATCTAATTTGTTCTAGGACACATTCACACACACTTAATCGTTCGCTAAGAGATTAGTAGCGATTAAGGGGCCGTAAACTCGTTCGTCTTGGCAATAATTTAGGATCCTGTCGCATGAGAGATCAGCCTGGTCCCCTAAATTATTGTACTCTACGCCGGGAGAGCGGTAACAACTTAGTATTGATTAGCTAGGCTCAATTAAATTAAATTCATGTAATTAAGCCTGATCTGCCAGAAATCTGATTACCCCGGAATCAATCCTTGTTCCTTTCGTCGTTAATTAATTAAGAAGAACCCAATTATTTACTTTTAGTCATTTATTTGCAATTTTAGTTTTCTCAAGCAACCAAATCTTGCACGACCGCATTTGTTTTGTTTATTCTTTATCGCTGATTTTTAGTTAATTATTAATTCCCTTTTACCGTCCCTGTGGAGACGATACTCGTACTTTCACCGCTATATTACGATCTTTTTAAGTGCGAGAAAACTCACATCAAAGGGGTAGAAGATCTGGATTCTGAAGATGATTTCTTCCTCTTGGGATTTGGTTTCCTGGTCAATACCTTCTTGACCTTCTCTGGTGCAGCTTTCTTGGTAACTGCTTTCTTCACAACTTTTCTCACCAGAGGTGCTTCCTCAGAGCTGCTAGAGGTATTCTGTTGGGAGGGTCTCTGTTGGAGCTTCTGTCTGTTAAGGTCTAGCTTGGCTAACCTCTCGACTTCAGCTCTTATAGCTGCTTCTTTGTTGCTGGTAGTTGACAGAAAGATCACCTTGGAGTGATCTACCAGGATTGGTTTCCTGAGCCCAGTTCTCCTCACTAGAAGCTCAGAGATGAGGAGAGCATGACCTACCTTCCCAGAGTAGATCCCTGTGTCCTTGCTCTTTCTCTTTGCCACCTTGACAAACTCTTTCATGGACCTGACAATCACTTGGCCCCAGTTGTGCATCACAGCTCTGATACCACTTGTTGGTCCCGGTTGATGTTTGCCTTGTGCATCACAGCATAGACTGCCTTGGCCTGCGAGATGGTGAACTCATCAGTGGATGTGTATCTGCACCATACACATCTGTGAAGGATATTCACCAGAAGTTCAATGTCTCTTTTCAGAGAGTGTTTCTTCCCTGTCAGCTTTGGAAGGTTGGCCCCAGGTCTGCCATAGTTCATGGTGAATTCCTCAACAGTGAGGTCTGCATCTTCTAGGCCAAAGAAACCACTGGATTCATTGACAGCCACAATCTGGAAGAGACTATTGATGGCCCCAGCATCAATGGAGACTTGCTCTCCATTTACAGTAGAGGTGATGACCTCGTCTTCAAAATCAGCGTTGAGATAGAACTCAACCAGTTCAATACAACTGTACTGAGTGTAGTTGTAGGTGATGACCTTTTCCAGTTGGGAGTCATTGATGCATTCCACTATGCGCTCCATCAGTGACTCATCTTCAGCCAGTCTAGGGAGTGCGAATAGCTCGCATTTCATCCCTGTGAGAACATTTTTGGTTAGGGTTTCCTGTTGATCCTTTGGGAGAGAGTTGAAGCTGATGGGAGCCATTAGAGCAGAAGAAACGAGTTTTGGAAGCTTGAAAGCTATGGAGGTTTGAGAGTTTGAGGATATTGAGAGCAGTAACGGTTAAGGTTTGAGAGACGGGAATATATGGGTTCGGGTTAGTGGACGCTTGAGATTATTTACGGTTTCGAGGTACCAATAAATGAAAATGGGGGCGCAGTAAATATTTTGCAACTGAGATACCGTTTCAAGGGTAAAAGGGTAAAAGACCGTTAATAAGTTACTAGGTCACCCGGTTTTTCAAAATATTCCAAGTCCACAACCTTCTGTTACAGGTAAGGTTTTCAGAGGGTAAGAAAGGGGGGGGGGGGGGTTCTGTTGCTGAGGTGTTCTGTCAGGAACGGAGGTTCTCTATTCAGGATAGAGAACAGAAGGGGTTAACAGTAGGGGTTCTGCAACAGGTATTCTGTTAGCAGAGATTTTGCAACAGAGGGCCTTCCTTTTCAACTTTCTCTTGGAATTTCATCCATCATTCCCAATTCCTCTCTCAGTTTGTTGAATCTAGCCTCAGGTAGAGGCTTTGTCAGAATGTCTGCAAGCTAGTCTTCTGTTGGCACATGCTCCATGCATATGTGCTTCTTTTCAACATGATCTCTGATGAAGTGATGTCTGATCTCAATGTGCTTTGTCCTGGAGTGAAGAACTGGATTCTGAGTGATGGCAATGGCACTGGTGTTGTCACATAGCAGTTTGATCTCCTTTGCTTGAATGCCATAGTCCTTCAACTGTTGCTTCATCCAGAGTAGCTGAGCACAACAACTTCCAGCTGCAATGTTTAAGGGTTGCCCATAGAAAAGAGTTGAGAGCGTTCTCTCCTGGGATCGATCTGCGACCCAGGTTCTTTTTTCCGTACATCAATGGTTTCCTTTGATTCTGTTAATCCGAAGCATGGAACTGGTAATATTGTGTTTGTAATATCCTCCTCCACTTGATTCTGTTCTCCGGTTGCAGTTTTGGGGGTAGGTTTGAATCCAGAAACAAGAAAAGAAGAACTGAAAATCGCGAATTTACTGTTCACGGGTTGTCGAATTTATGCATAAATCTTGAATTAAGTAGCGATTCTTTGAAATTTGGGATTGGTGTGGAACTCCTGACTCTGGGCGACCCTCGCTAATCTTGTTTGGAGCTTTTCTGACCTAAGGTCTGTAATGAACTGGTGTTGACTGGTGTGCTCGTCGCGAAGAATGATGCTCTTCGTTCTGCGATACTGAGGCGACTCTGTTTCAAGGGCGGTCTGTTTCTGCTGGTTCTGGAGGATTTTGGAAACTACATACGGAGCCTAAAACTGCTGAGCTATGGATTATTACCTCTGCACTTAATCGTTTCCTGCTATGGCGAGAAAACATCAGGGAGCAGGGGAGGCTACAGAGCCACGCATCACTCAATCCCGATTTGCTGTGTTGGAAGGTGCTGAGGATGAATTCCCCTCTCTGCAACCAGGGAATTACATGAAGAATAAGGATAGCCCTGTGGCTACTACTACTAAACGAACTGATAATTTTAGGCAAAAAACTGTACTAGCGCAGGAAGCTGTTGTTTTTAACGGAGGTTCACCCCCTGGACAAGAAGCTGGGATTGAAGTTCTGAGTGCCTCAGGAGCAATTATAAATTTTTCTGGGAGTGCTGCTGCTATTGGTCAGAAGGCAACGACCTTAGCTGCAGGGATGACACATGAGGCAGACTTGCTATTTTCTTCTGCTGTACCTGATAACAATGGGAACCAAAAGGGTGTGTTGCCGGCTTATGGACAGTCTACACAGCAGGGTGCATTGCTTAAAGACAGTGAATTATCTGGAAACAAGGTGAAACATGCTGAAGGGGTGATTTCTGCTGTCACCCAGTCTACACAACACCAACCTGGAGGAGTCAAACCTTGGAGTAACTTGTTCAAGGACAACAGAAATCCGACACATGGTATCAAGTTGAGATATATCCCGCCTAAAGGCAATGAGCTAGACTTTACCGATAAAGTTTTGCCATCCATGGTTGACATGTGGGGCTATTGCCTTGTTGGGTACTTCACAGGTAGATTCCCTGGCCTTAAAGCAATTTATGATTTAAGATCAAAATGGAATGTTAACTGCTTGATAAAAGATCATGAAAAGGGTTGGGTTATTTTCAAATTTCAAAACGAATTGGATAGGACTAAGGTTCTAAATGAAGGTCCCTACACCGTGTTTGGGAAACAACTAATTCTAAAGGTACTTTCTGAGGATTTCTCGTTCGAGGATGAAGAGTTTCTTAAAGTACCTATTTGGGTCAAATTTCCCAAATTACCATGGAAACTATGGAATGATGAGGCTATGAGTGAAGTAGCATCGATGGTTGGAATTCCGTTGACTACGGATAAGGTAACTCAAGAAAGGACCAACCACACCTTTGCTAGAGTTCTAATTGAAGTTGATATTTCGAAACCACCACAACTTTCTTTTCCTATACGGCTATCTTCCAAACAGGTTTTCAAACAAATGGTGGTTTACGAAACATTTCCGAGCTATTGTTTTCATTGCAAAACATACGGACATAACCCGTTCATTTGCAAAAAGTTGACACCAACAAAGGATGGAAAGGCTGCCCAGAATGTTACCATTGTGACTGGGAAACCAGATTCTGCCCAGCATGTAAAAAGCATAGAAGACCACACTGATATCTTGGATACCACTGTTATTCCCACGGTGACAGTTAGGGAGGAACGGGCTTTGCTTGAGGCAGATAGAATTGTTCCTGAGATGGATCACTCGCTGCAATTTCCAGACAAGATGAGCTGAAGGGCTCTGCTGCTACTGCTGTGTTGAAGGACACTGCTGCTCCTACTATACCGGAACTTCAAGGCAACACAATTGCAATTACGGACAAGCTAGTTTTGGCAGCGGCAGGTGTATGTGATGAGGACGCTGCTGCATTGGAACTGGATAAAAAAACAATAAAAAAGAAGAAGAAAAAGAGGGGTAGGCCGAAACCAAAAAAATCCGGCAGATTGCCAAAAAATGTTGAAAGTGAGAGTTCAGAATGGTATGAGACAGACAGCTCGGGGAGGGAGGACCTAGGTTCGGACTTTGACGAAGTTTATGTGGATGGTAAAACTTTTGTGATTAGAAAAGATGCTAAGGTGAATAGAAATAGAATGATAAGGAGAATACAAGGCCTAAGTTGGGAGGAAACATTTGCTAAAAAGAAAATGGATCTTCCAGAATTTTTTAAGGGTCGGAAAAGGAATAAATTGGCTCTCCTATTTTGTGATGATTTTAGTATGGATGTGGAAGGTATGCTTTGGCCTTGTACTTGAGGGATTACACTGGTGTTATTCTGTATTGGGAGCAGCTCGCTGCATGATTTCGTTTATTAGTGAGCTGGAATTTTAGCTATTTTTGATTTGTTTTTGATGTGGGGTATGCCCCTTTTTAGCTGATATATTCTATCTAGACTAGCTTTGATAGTCATTGAGGTCTGTTTTGATACATTGTAAAATGTTATTTTGGGTGCTAATATATATACTTACATTTCATCCCAAAAAAAAAACCACTGGATTCATTGACAGCCACAATCTGGAAGAGACTATTGATGGCCCCAGCATCAATGGAGACTTGCTCTCCATTTACAGTAGAGGTGATGACCTCGTCTTCAAAATCAGCGTTGAGATAGAACTCAACCACTTCAATACAACTGTAATGAGTGTAGTTCTAGGTGATGACCTTTGCCAGTTGGGAGTCATTGATGCATTGCACTATGCGCTCCATCAGTGACTCATCTTCAGCCAGTCTAGGGAGTGCGAATAGCTCGCATTTCATCCCTGTGAGAACATTTTTGGTTAGGGTTTCCTGTTGATCCTTTGGGAGAGAGTTGAAGCTGATGGGAGCCATTAGAGCAGAAGAAACGAGTTTTGGAAGCTTGAAAGCTATGGAGGTTTGAGAGTTTGAGGATATTGAGAGCAGTAACGGTTAAGGTTTGAGAGACGGGAATATATGGGTTCGGGTTAGTGGACGCTTGAGATTATTTACGGTTTCGAGGTACCAATAAATGAAAATGGGGGCGCAGTAAATATTTTGCGGCTGAGATACCGTTTTAAGGGTAAAAGGGTAAAAGACCGTTAACAAGTTACTAGGTCACCCGGTTTTTCAAAATATTCTAAGTCCACAACCTTCTGTTACAGGTAAGGTTTTGAGAGGGTAAGAAAGGGGGGGGGGGGGTTCTGTTGCTGAGGTGTTCTGTCAGGAACGGAGGTTCTCTGTTCAGGATAGAGAACAGAAGGGGTTAACAGAAGGGGTTCTGCAACAGGTATTCTGTTAGCAGAGATTTTGCAACAGAGGGCCTTCCTTTTCAACTTTCTCTTGGAATTTCATCCATCATTCCCAATTCCTCTCTTAGTTTGTTGAATCTAGCCTCAGGTAGAGGCTTTGTCAGAATGTCTGCAAGCTGGTCTTCTGTTGGCATATGCTCCATGCATATGTGCTTCTTTTCAACATGATCTCTGATGAAGTGATGTCTGATCTCAATGTGCTTTGTCCTGGAGTGAAGAACTGGATTCTGAGTGATGGCAATGGCACTGGTGTTGTCACATAGCAGTTTGATCTCCTTTGCTTGAATGCCATAGTCCTTCAACTGTTGCTTCATCCAGAGTAGCTGAGCACAACAACTCCCAGCTGCAATGTATTCAGCTTCTGTTGTACTGGTTGAGATTGAATTCTGCTTCTTGCTAAACCAGGAAACAAGCCTTCCTCCTAGCATTTGGCAGTGACCAGAGGTGCTCTTCCTGTCTAATCTGCAACCTGCAAAATCTGAGTCAGAGTAACCAATTAGTTCAAAGTTACCTCCCTTTGGATACCATAGGACTGCATTTGGATTTCCTTTGATATATCTGATGATTCTCTTTGTAGCACTAAGATGGCTCTCCTTGGGTTTTGATTGGTATCTGGCACAGATTCCAACAGAGAATGAGATATCTGGTCTGCTTGCAGTCAGATACAACAGAGATCCTATGATTCCTCTGTTGGTAGTTGCATCGACATCCTTTCCTTCATCATCCGGACCAATTCCTTGTGAGGTGTTCATGGGAATCTTCACTGAGGATTTGCCTTCCACTCCAAACTTCTTGATCAGGTCTCTGGTATACTTCCCTTGATTGATAAAGATTCCTTCTGGAACTTGTTTGACTTGTAGTCCTAGGAAGTAGCTGAGTTCTCCTATCATACTCATTTCAAATTGTTCTCTGCATTATTTGAGAGAATTTCTTGCACAGTTCTGAATTAGTACTACCAAATATAATATCATCAACATATATTTGTACTAACAGAATATGATTAGCAACAGAGATTTGAAATAGAGTTTTGTCAACCTTTCCCTTAGTAAACCCATGGTTCACTAGGAATAGGGACAGAGTGTCATATCATGCTCTGGGAGCTTGCTTAAGACCATAGAGGGCCTTTTTAAGCTTGTAGACACAAGAGGAGTGAGTAGGAATGACAAAACCTGGTGGTTGTTCCACATAAACTTCTTCTTCAAGATCTCCATTCAGAAATGCACTTTTGACATCCATCTGGTAGACCTTGATGTTGTTGTAGGCAGCATAGGCTAGAAATATTCTGATGGCTTCCAGTCTGGCAACTGGTGCAAAAGTCTCATCAAAATCTATTCCTTCTTCTTGGCAATAACCCTTAGCTACCAGCCTTGCTTTGTTCCTTACAATGTTGCCATCTTCATCAGCTTTGTTCTTGAATACCCATTTTGTTCCAATGACATTCTGGTGCTTTGGCCTAGGAACAAGTTCCCATACTTTGTTCCTTTCAAATTGAGTAAGCTCTTCTTGCATTGCATTGATCCAATCTGAGTCTGCAAGAGCTTCTTCTACAGTCATGGGTTCCATCTGAGATATATAGCAAGCAAGCATTGCTTCTCTCCTTGTTGATGCTGATCTGGTCTGCACACCACTTCTGATATGTCCAATTACTTGATTAGGGGGATGATCTCTTAACCATGTCAGATCAGGTTCTGTCAGTTGCTGTCTGGGTCTTTGTTGTTCTTCATCTTCTGAATCTTCATCTTCATTCAACAGAAGGGGGTTTGGTGCAGGTGTTGGAAATGCAAGGTTATCTGCTACCTCTTCTGTTGGTTCAGGTGTTCTGTCTTCTATACTGACTTCTTTGAGGATCTCTGTTACTTCTTTAACAGAGGTGCTATCATCAAACTTCACATGTATAGACTCTTCAACATGTAGAGTCCTTCTGTTGAGTACTCTATAGGCTTTACTGATGTTTGAATAGCCTATAAAGATACCTTCATCAGCTTTCTCTTGAAAGACTTTCAGATGCTCTTTTCCATTGTTAAGGATGTAGCATTTGCATCCAAACACATGAAAGTAACTGATGTTGGGTTTTCTTCCTTTCGTGAGTTCATAAGGGGTCTTCTGGTGATTCTTGTTGATCATGCTTCTGTTCTGGGTATAGCATGCAGTGTTGATTGCTTCAGCCCAATATCTCATAGGCTGAATTCAACAATGTAGCCTTTGTCACAGAAATGGCTAGCACTCGGCAAGTTGAACTTCAATCCTTTGACATATGAGATATCATCAATGACTATCTGGTTCTTGATCAGCTTCCCTCTTCCTTTTGTTTGACCTTCTTTGTCTTTACCTCCAAAGGTAACTCTAGGTCCATTGTATTTCTGGAACTCAGTTAGGCAATTTCTGTCACCTGTCATGTGTCTGGAGCATCCACTATCAATAAACCATTCTTGCTCTGAGATAGCTCCAACACACAGTTCCTGTAAGATCAAAAGAAAGATTTAGGTACCCAAGCAATTTTGGGTCCTGGGGGGTCATGGAGTCTGGGTAGTTGGTACCATTTTGGTCTCATCAGGTGAAACCTTGGTGGATGGTACCCATTGTCCACCTGGTAGTTATAGTAAACTGAAGTGTGATTCACTTTGGGCAGATGCTTGTGAGGGTCATGCTTCCTGTTTACATACTTTTGCATAGCTTTCTTTGTTGGAAAGAAGTCCCATATACTATCAAGAGCAGAGGGACAGTTAGCTTTGGGCTTCTGAAGTTGACCAGCCAACCTCTTCTACCTAAAGTTAACTCTCTCTTGATATTTGCCCTTCTGGTGGTCATTTCTGGCACGATTATCATGAGGTTGTCTGTCAATGAATGGTCTTTTATTTTTTTAATTCTGAAAACCTTTTCTGTTGTTAGGTTTTCTGCCAGGTTCATTATTTTTCAAAAGGGGATTCTGTGGAACCTTTATCTTTCCTTTTTCTGGTCTGACTTCCTCATGAACAACCTTGGTGCCAGATACACCAGCTTGAAAGATGGGGCTAGAGATCAGTGGCACTATGACTTTATCTGCCTTAGCAACACTGGTGCTAGGCATTACAGAAGGCTCACCTGATTCTGTTGAGCCATAACCAAGACCAAAGCCAGTGCCAATTTGTTGATCAAGTAAAATCTTTTCCATGGAAGACTGGGTCTTCTGGTAAGCTTTGTACTTAATCTCAAGAGGCTCAATTTCTCTTATTCTCTTGAGAAGAGAAACATTTTCAGTTTCCAGCTGATCTCTCTCCTTAATTAGAAGATTGATTTTGATCTCAACCTCCTTGTTTAAGTCAAGAATTTCAGCCTTCAGCTTACTGTTTTCTTCTGTGATAGAGGAATAAGTGGCTTGAATGGCCTTAAACTCTTCCCAAAATTCTGACATTGAATCAGAATCAAAAGCTAAGCCTACCGAAGAAAAACTAGATACAGAAGTAGAGGTTACCTCATCATCAGAATGAGCCATGAGGCATAGGTCTTCTGTCTCAGTATCAAGGCAACAGAAGGCCTCATCAGAGTCAGAGTCAGAACTGGATTCTGTCTCAGACAGAGGGTCTTTCTCGAGCTGTTCTGTCACGAGTGCTTTCCTTCTTCTGGAATTGTCTTCATACTTCTTCTTTTCTCCATCATGCCCTTGTTTCTTGGACACTCTTGGATGTGGACACTCTGCCTTGAAATGTCCAGGTTGTCTGCAGTTGTAACAGAGAAGCTCACCACTGTTCTCTGTTGTTTTGACCTTCTGGAATGGCTTTCTGCTGAATGATGGACTTCTTCCATCTTTGGGATTCTTCATAAACTTCTTGAATCGCCTAGCAAAAGCAGCCATATATTCGTCAGATAAAAATACTGAGGGGTCAAAATCATTTACCTTTGATGTGCTGGCAGTGAGGGCTGTAGTGGTCCTCTCTTCTGGTACATCTTCTTTTTCTTCAATCATTTCAAACTCATGAGCTTTGAGATTTGAAATGAGCTTATCAGTGGGATAAGTCTTCACATCCTTGCTGGCTTGGACAACAACCACCTTCATCTTCCATGCTGAGGGCAGTCCCCTCAACACCTTGAGGTTGATCTCCTTGGTGGTGAGTTCCTTGCCAAGCTCAAAAATCTCTCCAGTGAGAGTGAGGAGCCTGTCATACATCTTGGAGATGCTTTCACCAGGAAGAAGCTTGAAGTCATCAAACTTCTTGTTGGCTATTGTCAGCTTGTTGTCCTTCTCTTGCTCATCACCAGCTCCA